TGTGATTAACTGCACTGCCGATACAGAATCCTTCTCAACACATTTTGGCAAGTGCTGAGCGAAGAAAACAACAAGAAAGTAGAATTCAAAACGTCAGGAATGTCAAGCTTTCCTTTTAAATCCAGTCTTGGTTGGAGGCTTTTTGAGAAACAGAACAGCAAGCCTGCAGTCAGTCTATTTTGGGGCAAATAGCACAGACTGAAGGTGTCTGCTTAGCAGCAAGTCAGACGCATTATGTTCAGTGTGCTTTTGACATGCTGTGTTGTGTGTGTGTGTGTGTGTGTGTGTGTGTGTGTGTACGCATAGGGGTGTGTGTGTGTTAGAGAAAGAGAGTGTACCTGACATGCTGTTACTTAGCTGTGAGTGTAGGTGTCAAACGTACTGTAGGTACTATATAGCAAGATCCCACGGAGACTAGGTTTCAGCTCAGTGCCATCCAAATGAACAAACATGACATTCATCCATCCATTGTCTGTCACCACTTATCCATCATCAGGGGGAGACAATGGTTGAGAGGCGATGTACACCTGGGCAGGTCACAGGACCATCACTGACAAGCATGCACGCACACATTCACATGTACAGTACAGGCAGTTTAGAGTTGAAAAACCTGGAGAAAACCTCAATGCTAAAATGGGGCAAACTCCACACAGAAGGGCCAAAGTTGGACAACAGGTTCAATCCTGGAGCCCTCTTGTTATGAGGTAACAGTGCCACCCACTTCACCACTGTGCTGGCCTACAAACATGACAGTGTACAACAATATGGATTAATAACAACGAACAGCAACACTTTCTTGGTATTGTTTAGTTTTACAACAGAGTTTAATCATGTGGCCCAGATTTCCCCTATTTCCTTGAGAGCTGTAACAATTAGTTGTTTAAACATTCAGTCAAACAACTGTAAATTAATTATAACAACTAGTTAGATAGTTGCTTAGTTGTTTCAGTCTCAAGCAAAAGTGACAATGGCTTCTGGTTCCAGCACCCCGAATGTGAGGATTTGATGCTTTTCGTTGAAGGTCTACCTGGTAGGGTTTAGTGAAATCTAGATGTGAGGTTGCAGATTTCAACCAACTGAAACTTTTCTCATGTGACAAGCATGTAGGAGAACTACAGTGGCTTAAATAAAGACATGAAAATGCAAATGGCCCTATCTAGAGCCAGCTTTTGGTTTGTCTGTTCTGGCCTACTGTAGAAACAACATGGTGGACTCCGTGGAAGAGAACCCACTTTGTATGTAGATATAAACTGCTTCTTCTAATGTAACAAAACACAACAATTCTTAATCTCAGGTGATTATACACAAGAAAACATAGTTAGAAATATTATATTCCATTTTTGCCAATATATCTCCCTAAATCCCACAGACTGGAACTTTAAATTTAACCCATGCAGAGCCCATTTCAAACATACCTGCTCAGAACAGGCCAATTTCTTAATCCTTGGTGTTGCTGCTTGCAGCTTTTTCAAGAACAGCTCATCCAAACGGCCTAAGAAAGGACACAGTGATCCCTTGGTTCCTTAGCAATACACCTGCCATGACATAGCAGCAACATGGGGTAGTGGTTATCCCAAAAGTTACATGGCTGATGCTAGAAATGTTTGAGTTTACTACAATGTAACATCTCCAATATGTCTTTTGTCTTTTGCTGCTGTATGCACTGTAGTGAGCAACGAAGAGTGAGCTGTGCCCAGCATGCTGTTCGGTGGTGTAAGAGTTAATAGGGGCCCCTTCTCATTACACGACACAGTGTGTGCATTACACGCTACTAATAAAAATGTCCTGTCCAACACTGCATTTACTTTGGTCCACACAGAAATAAACCCTTCAAGTGTGAAGTTTACTGGGTGGATGGTTGTTGATAAAACAAACAAGAGGCTCCTTCCATTTTAGTTAGCTATCATTGAGTTTTAGACTGATGGAAAGATAAAATACAGTATATGATGATGCAAGATTCAGCCCTACCTTGGAAAGTTTGTTTTCTGAGATTTTCTCAGCAAACAATTACTTCATTGTGAAAACAATCAGCAGATTAATCAGTAGTGAGAATAATTATTACTTGCAGTCCTGATTTCCTCAATGAGCAGAGTTCTTCTTAGCCCCATATGTTTGATATCAAACTAGAATGAATATCAGCATGAGACTGTGATTATGTGAAGAGGCATGTTATGAATTACAGAAATAATGACAGATGATGAGATTTGTTCAATTACAGTTGAAGAAATAGAGAGATAGAATAAAAAAATATGGGTAGCCACGCTATCTGTGCTTTACTGCTTATATTTCTGTGTGATTTGACAAATTACAATGAGTGAGTAAATGGAGTGAAGCGCGGGAAATACTGATAAATAAGAAGTGGGGAAAGATGAAAAGGGAGACACAGCGAGATTGGAGGACATGTGTGAAGTGAGATGAGTGAAAATCCTGTAAGAGAATCTGAGCCAAAGAGTAAGAATCCCCAAGTGGCGGAGAGAGAGCGAGCACCCTCTCTTTTCCCAAGCCTCTCCTTCCAAGTATGCTTTGCCCAGTGTTACCATGGCAACGCTGAGTCTTCCATAAGCTGACCACACTCACACACTTGCACATACAGTGTGTGTGTATGTGTGTGTACACAAATTGCACACATATACTGTAGCACCCGAACGGCCACGTGCACAGATGGAAGAGATATCACACACACGCAGTAAAAAGGCTCTACTGCTGGCTGATAATAAACACACTCCAGCTTTGAGAGGCAGAGAAAATGCTCCACTGACATCACATAACTGTCTAACATTTCCAAGCTACTCGGAGTAAACACATTAATCCATCATCAACAAATTAATCAGCAACAATTTGGATGATTTGGAGGGATTGTTTTTCAAGCAAAAACAACAATATTTTCTTGTTCCAGCTTTTTAAAAAACAAAAATTCATTTGTGTGTTTTCTCTGACAGTAAATTGAATGTCTTTGGGCTGTAAGTCAGACAAAACAAGCAATGTGAGGACGTCACTTTGGGCTCTGGGATAATGTGATAGGTGTTTATTTTGATAACTCGATGATATTTTATAGACTAAATGATTTAATGCAGTGTTGCTCAAAATGGAAATGTATGGAATTTGATTTTAGTAATTTCCAAGTCTGGATAAGTATTGAAATAAGAAAAGAGAGTATGGAACAATGTTTGTGTTTCCAGACTATTGCCCCTCTTCTGTCTCCTAAAATATATAAAATTCAGTATTTCTTAAAATGAATTGATGACACATACAAGCACAGTGTTATTCATGGTGTTTGGAGCCACCAGTACAATCAAAATGTTTACTGCTGTGTGAGAGAGTGCGGGTCAGAGCAAGCTTGATGTCATCAAAAGAAAGGCAAGAATTATGGCGTGTAGCCTCAGGGATTTAAGTTCTCCATCACTACGGCAGATTTCTATAATTTGGAGTTCATATAGTATTTAAACTTGATGGCTGCATTAGAGAACAGCAGCAATGTTTACGTGTGGAACGGTGCTGAAATGTTTTATATTGTGTTATTTATTTAGCTGGTGTCAATTATATGTTTTACAAATTGCAGATGGGATACATGACTTGGGTGCAGTATGAAAAATATTTCAATCAAAGGATTATTTTTTGCTTTAATACCTGCGTGCAACAATACGCACACTCTTATAGAGATCTGGCTCTACACTGGTACGTCACAGCCTATCCTCCGTCAGTATCTTTAAATTATAGTTTTTATACATAGCATCACAAATATAACGGCTATTAAGCTTGTCTGAACATTTATCAGTAATGCAGTTATGTGGTTATCAGAAATGTAGATGGACTATCTTTTCCGAGAAAAGTAACCTTTATAGCTGCATCGTCATTTCAATGAAAAATGAATAAACAAGGCTGCATCGACGTCGTAAAAATTCCATTAACTTTTATGAAAGAGACTACAAAATGCTGTGGTAACAATAATGTATTATTATTTATTCAAGATGTTGCTGGAAAATAATACAAGTACAGGTGGCAGCAGGTAGTTTACTTCCTCGTTGGGCAGAGATGAACTTGTCTTGTCAGTATGAGCTACAGTACCTGACTACAATCTTCTGGCAATTATTTGGCAACATAACAGCATACATTGTAAGCGTGTAATACACGCTAACAGTTGGACTTTGAAACCATTTATTACATAATAATCATCTAGCTATTTGTACTTGGATGTCAAATGTGCTCTTAAAAATCTACTGAGAAGTCTGGAGTTTGGAAACATATGGAATATTCAAATGGAAAATGTGTTGGACCCCTGTAATCGCTTCATCAAGAATATAATATTCATGTTAACTGGTAATAAAAAATAATCTAATGATCATATCAGAATTATATTTCACATGTGTTATGTGAAAAACTGCCAGCTGCTGTGTCTTCTGTTCACACTGCTCTGTCTACAATTCAAACACAATCCATGTAGTCATTTATAAATGTGGATGCTGAGATGTTCACTGAACCGCAGAAGAACACGGCTCCAAATGTACAATTACAGATTGCAATGGGTTGAGCCTTATGCCTGAAATAAGAACATCCAAATTTGATTCCATCCATCTTCTCCTTCCATCACCCTCCCACACAGAGCAACCCTTTCACCTGCTCGCTGCTTAATTATCACTAGCAGCTATTTCAAGCCTTACATTGGTCGCACTGCGCTGAAGAAAAGAGCATCTCATTGATTGAATGGATCACAGAACAAACAGTATTGAGTGTTTGTTCCTAAAATGTATTCAGCTGAAGACCTGAGAGTCTTCATACCATGATTTTCTTTATACGCCATATCAGCAAACACAGCCATTGATAGTATAAAATCATGTGTGCACAAAGGGGTAAAACAATCAAAATATCTTTAAATCATCAAAACAGATAATGAGAAGTTAATAAAATAACAACCACAGGTAGAAACTAGTATGTATCACTGCAAATATTTGGCTGAAAATAGAAATAAACATCTGAAACTCTCCCTGTCTTCCCCTCTCCAGCCCCCAGATAAGGAAGGCGGTCTGCCGAAGCAGGTTGGCAACAAGACCGAGTGCGGCCTGCTGGGATTGGTCTTGGACCTGAAGCGGGATTACCAGCCAATAAGGAACCAGCTCCCCGAGGAGAAGCTTTACAAAGTCTACACCTTCAACTCTGTCAGGAAGTCCATGAGCACTGTCGTCAAATTACCTGATGGGAGCTTCCGCATGTACAGCAAGGGAGCTTCTGAGATCGTCCTCAAAAAGTGAGTTTGGTCTTGTGATTAAAATGAGATGGTTCTGATAAAAATAGCACAGCAGCACATAACCTTGCTGTAGAGTAATATGATATAATCAAGTGCTGTTTTTTTTTTTTTTTCAGTGTATAGCTAATCGATTTTGAGTGCATTATGTACTTGAGGGTATAACATATTGCACATTCCCTAGGCAGTGAGAGTGGGCTGAGTTTCCACGAGAAGGTCACAGAATTGTGACATTTTACAGAACATTACACAAACAGTACAGTAACAGATGAGTAACTCTGAGAAAAACATGAGAGGCAGTTATAAAGCTTACCGCACCCATTTAGGGAAAGAGCAGAAATCTATTGATGATGAATGACATTAAGATGAAACATTAAATCCTAATAAACAGATAAACAGCCATTTCACTGTGAATTAAGCTTTTCACATTAATGCAGATGAAGCTACAAAACACTTCATTGACATTAGTCATTTTTTGCACAAATTACAGTTGATTTTTTTTTGGATTAGCTACGGGTGCTTTTACATCTGCCCTGTTTGGTTCGGTTCAATTGAACTCAAGTTTGTTTGCCCTCTACATGCGGTTCATGTGGGCAGGTGTGAACACAGCAACGGCACTCAGGTGTGCACCAAAACAACCGGGTCTGCTTACAAACGAACTCTGGTGCGGTTTGTTTGTGGTGAGAATGTGTTCCGACCTCGATCCGAACCAACTGCAATCGCATGACACATTGTTTGGGTTAAACATGAGCATGTTACAGTCCTGGAGGATTATTAATGTGCACCTCCTCCTGTACTGTCTTAATATGCACATTCAGCACATCCAATGCATCAAAACATTGTTTTCTAGTTGGAGCCGCGCCTCGTTTTCAAACTGTATGGTTTGACTAAAATGAACAATGACAGCAATATAGTCCACGATGACCAGCGCTAAAATCAACCTGCGTAGTTGTCCCTCCATTGTGACATTAGAAAGTGTC